TCCCCCCTCGCTCGGCTGCGGCGAAAAGCTGCCCCCTCCCCAGGGCAGTGGTGGAGTCACCATCCCTAGAGGGGTCCAAAAACCATTTAGATGTGGCATTTAGGGACATGGTTTAGTGGCCATGGTGGGGCTGGGTTGATGGTTGGACTGGATGATCTTAGAGGGCTTTTTCAGCCTTAATGGTGCTGTGATCCCACAGGGTTTGAGGCACAAAATGCAGCCGTGGGTGGATTCATGGGCATGGAGCCCCCTGGCACAGACTGGCTTTGGTCAGGGGTCTGCAGCCAAAGCAGGGGCCTGGGGTCTGGGTTTTCTCTGCTGTGCTGGGGGCCATGGCATTGGGTACAGGGAAAGCAGCGTTACCAGTGGACGAGGCAGTTCCCTCCGTGCAGGCGACACTGGTGGATAAAACTGATGCATTCCTTGAAGTGCCTCTTGCTAGGGGGAAAATAAACGAGACAGAATAAGGGCTTCAGGGGCGGGATGGGATTTTATGGGTGCAGGCAGAGCAGCCCTGAGCGTTTGAGGCTGAAGCACTCCCCAGCGGCTGCTGAGCTGGGAGGCTGTGGGGTCTGGAGGTGTCCCCAGCACTGTGAGAGCTGCAGGCAGCACCTCGAGGGCTTGGGGTGCTGTGAGCCTTCACCCCCAATTGCCCTGCAAAGCCCCAGCCTCCCTGGGGTACTCACATGTTGGCCTCGGGGGTGTCGGGGAGGGGGATGCGGAGGTAGGTGATGTCCTGGAAGACACAAAAGGAAGAGGAAAACTTGGGCGCTGCGGTCAGGGATGCCACACGTGGTCAAGGTGTCATGCATGGATGGGGTGTCACACGGGGTATCATGCATGCTTGCAGCCTTTGCTCCTCACTCCAGCACTGCCTCCAGGGCTCCGTTCCCCAGCACAGCATCCCCTGCGCTGGGACAGGGCTGCTTGCTCCCCTGGCAGGAGCGTGGGGAGGGCAGCGGGGACCAGGCTCGTGGGAGAGGGTGGGAAATGAAATGAGATGGGGCTGGAGAGCTGGAAATAGCTCCCTGTTCAAGGCCAGGTTACAGTCACAGGATGGCCGGTTTCCCAGGCTGGGGGTTGCCCAGATCCTCTGGGACTGCAGGGGGAGCGGTGTCCATGCTGTGGGGCGCTCACAGGGGAAGGGAGAGGCTGTGGCGTGGAAGGAGCTGCAGAAATCAGCACAGGACCCTACCTGCAGCAGGGGCTGGGGGGATTCATGGATCGAAACGATGTGGGTGATCTTGTTCCGGCTCAGCTGCTCCAGGTCTTTGGCATCTAAAGGACAAAGCCAGATACCAGCACGTATTCGTTTCTTACCCTTCTCTTCCCACTGCGCTCCTGCAGGCAAAGCCTTGCTCCAGAGGCTCCATCACCTCCCATCTATGCAGCAGCATAGGCACGGGCAAGCACCCAAACGCCCCCTGGAAATCTGGGATGCAAACCCCATGATACCAAACCAGAGCCCTCCTCCCTCTGAAAGTGCTTGGCCTCGCTGTCTGAGCTCCCCTTGAGCACCCGAAGGGCGATGTGCAGCACCCTGCGGGCACCCTCCACAAAGGCACGCACAGAAACCGGGTCTGCTTGGCTCTCTGGGGCCGTGACCTGCTTCTTGCTAATGCTTCTGCATCCCTGGCTGTGATCCTGGTTGCTGGCCCAGCACAGCAGTTACTACGGTGGGAGGGCAGCGTTGGAGCTGTCTCCTTGTGCCACGACCAGCGGATGCTGAGGAAGCTGCTGGAGAGGAGGGCTAACGCGTTCCCACCTCATCACTTCGGGTTGATGAACCTTCCTGTGGTGTCAAACCGTGGCCTGGGGATCCAGACCATGAAGTGATGTGAATTTTAACAGGACTGAGTCTCAAGAGCTGGTGAGCTGAGCCATGGGCGTGTGAAGGGGGGGATATGGGGACCTTTACGGGTACGTGCACAGCACTTGCCGTCTTTCTGCCCACCTCAGGCAAGGGGAGTGACAGCAACTGGGCACACTGGTGTCAAGGATCAGGTGGTATCAGGCCAAGACCCCTCGTCAGCCGTTACTTGCGGGAACCCCCATGTCAAACCTGGGACCTGCGTGTGTGGGAGCCCTCGCTCCCCTGCTCCCCGTCCCCCACCACCCCAGCAAGCCCAGCTCCATGGCCAGAGGATGTCTCTGTGGTGGTGCAGCTCCGCTTACCGATGAAGTTCCCAAGGTAGAGGCCAGGGAGGATCTGTGGGACAAGGAGAAATGGCAGCATGAGCAGTGGCCTCGTGCCCTGGCACCCACTGCGCTGGGACCCGCCATGGGAAGCAGCGACCTCAGCTGGCAATGCCGAAGTCTTCCTGTTAACCTGACCATCACCAGCCCCAGGGCTCATAATTTATTTACTATCAATAAACTCTTTGTCAGGGCTTCTTATGAGCTCAGGAAGCAACGCACGCCTCCATACAGCCCTGGACTGTGCCCGTCCTGCTGCCCGAGGGATGGGGCAGCAACAGGCACTGAGGAGCCTGTGGGGATGCAGTGATTCCCCCCCAGCCTCAAACTCCGCTCCCCTCGCTCTGTGCCACAGAGAGCCCCTTTCAAACAGATCACTCTGGACACCGTGCCTTACTTTCCTCGTGAAATTCCATTTTTCATGATGAAAAGCTAATTACTTGGCAGTGTCTCTGTTAATTGCTCTGTGGCTGCAGAAGTGGGTATTTTCATCCCTTCTTACCCAGAGCTGTTTTCTATTTTCCCCATCCCCAACCCAGACACCAAGGCTCCCTGGATTGTCCATCCCCATGTCCTGCCTCCAACTTCTCCCCACTGCGATGTTTGGTGCCCGGAGCTGGGCAGGCAGAGGTGATTTCTATGAGCACAGCTGGGCTTGCCCTTATCTCACTGCCCACTTTAGGAAACGTATCTCTTGCTCAAACAGCTTAAAGAGGGGTTTTAAATAATTCCTAAGATTTTAGATCCATTTTCTATCGACGGGGCGCCTTTAACTTGCAGCTGCGGCAGTGAAATGAGCTGGCAGGAGAGCGTCGGTTTGCAAGGGCAGCTCCCAAGGGCAGGACACGGAGCCGTGAATAAGAGCACGTCCCTGTCCCCAGCACCTCCTGACCCACTCCGGGGGGAGAAAAAGGAGACCAGCCCCATCGGCAGCTCCCGGTGCTGCCTCATATAGCTACTGGGTATGGGGCTGGGGGGTGTTTAAGGCTGGAGGTTCTTGCAGGAAAAAGGTGTCTCGGTTCACCTGGGACAAGGGGAAGCTCAAATAGCCATAAAATAGTACCCCGCCCCTCCAGCCCCTCCGCTCCGCGATGCTGAGCCCCATGCACAGCCCAGGACCGCTGGGCTTGGGGTTGCACAGGGCTCCTGCTTGGAAGGAGCTTGGTTCTTAAGGTGCTGGGAAAGCTTCCCCCCTCTCACTGTCACCCCTGCTTTCCACCCCTCCGGGTGGCCATGGGG